TCTCACTTCTTCTTTCTTCTTACTCCTCTCCATCCCCCTCCCCTTCCCTCCCTTCTCCTCTCCTCTTCTCTTCTCCTCCCTTCCTTTATTACCACCTTCCGTTATCATTCGGATAAATGTTTGGGCCCAAATGGAACACCCACTTCATGAGCCCTTTTAATTACATTATCTACTGCTTAAACATTAATGATGTACTTTTTGTGACAATTAATAATCTTATAGGTGAAACATTACACTCCAATACAAGTATAAAATAAATTTTAAGGATGAATTATAAGATTATATGACTTGGTGGGGAAAGTGTATAAAGTATTTTGGAACATACAGACATTTTACAATTCCAGCCTCTAATTTTCATCTTACTGTAAAATGTTACAGTGTTGTCTCAGAAAAAATAACATTACTTTGACATTTTCTATTTTTCCTTTTCAACAAGAGTTACATTTTAATATAAGTATGGAAATGCAATGTCATGTGTAGAAAAGTTGTCTTGGTTTTCTTCTGTTCTGTGTATTGTGTAGAGTTGTTCAGTTGGTCCAAATACATTATTCCTACCGACCATTGAATAAAATCTAACTCATACAATGTTTTCCTAAGAACTAAATCATTTGCTTCAAAGAGATATGTGGAAAGACAGAATGATAAATAAGAGTCTTCAATTATCAAATGTAAGTGACTTTTATGCTCTTTAGTTGAGAAGTACTCCTCTCTTACCTAATATGTAAAATTTGAAAGCATTTATGATTGGCAGGAATTTATGCCAGACAAATTTATGCCTGGCAAAAACAGAGGCGGATACTTGCAGCCAATCATTGAACTGAGAGTGGGTTCACCGACAGAGAAGTTGGAGAAGGAACTGAAGGAGCTGAGGGGGTTTGCAGCCCCGTGGAGGGTGCAATAGTCAGCTGGCTATACCCCTCGGGAGCTCCTGGGGACTAGACCTCCAACTAAAGTGTACACATGGAGGGACCCACTGCTCTGGCCGCGGATGGGGCAGGGGATGGTCTTGTTGGACATCAGTGGGAGGAGTGACACTTGGTCTTGTAGGGATTCAGTGCCTCAGTGTAGGAGAATGCCAGGGCAGGAAGTCAGGAGTGGGTGGGTGGGTGGAAGAGCGCCCTCATAGAAGCAGTGGTAGTGGGGATGGGATACGGGTTTCTGGAGGGGAGACCTGGAAAGGGGATAACATTTGAAACGTAAATAAAGAAAATATCCAATAAAAATTAAAATGTCTTTCTGAAAAAATAAATCTGTTCTTTCCATTCTTAAATTCCAGGTGAAAAGAGTATCTTTCATTAAAATGGCAGTATTTAAGTTAATGATTGATACTTCATAAAAATTAAATGTTGCTCTGATATAGTTTGCAGGATAATCTTTTAAAACTGTGTATCATGAGGAACAGAGTTGAAGCTCTCTCTTTTAACTTATTTTACTCTGTTTTTTTCATCATTTTCCTTTGTGTGTGTGCGTGTGTGTGTGAGTGTGTGTGTGCTCTCCAATTTCCTACAAATCTGGCAACAGGATTTTTTTTTGTCTTGTGCAGTAATTATTATGTACGCTATGTTTTAAAAATACATATGTTATCTTTCCATACTCTGTAGAAAACACTGATTTCTTTTCTAAGCGTTTCTGCATATGTACCATTCCTGAGATCATAATGAGAACATTAGTATAGCATTGAAACGTCCGAAATTTACTTATCAATCCATTTCTCCCCTTTGCCAAAACTGTTTTCTATCTTCCACTATTTGAAAACATGGCAACTCATACATCATAGCCATTACACATGCAAACCTGTGTGGGACGAGTATCTTGAGTTTCTATGTGAAGAATTTAGACAGTTTGGCATTGCCCTTTGAAGTTTATGAAGACTGCATTAGTTGATATCTTTGCTCTAATTTTAATACTGACTGTGGCTCTCTCCCATCACTGGACTTGGTTCATCTCTGGGGAAGGGTTTTGTATCCTTAAAGGGACAATGAGCATTACCACCAGCTGCTTTTAGTTACTACATATATTTAAATGATGGTATATTAGCTCCTAAGAGAAATAATTTAAGCTGAACTAGTTTCTTCTTCTGGACACTTATGTATTAATCCACAATAGAATGAGATGATGTTTTTAATTCATCAGTCAATATGAGTAGAAACGCTTTCATGTAAAACTTAGTAAAAGTTAAGGAATTCAGTTACTGCTATCCATGAAATTTTGCAACAAAATACATGTTAATACAGAAATTATTTTTTAAAGTATGAATAAGTGGCTAGGGTTATTTAGCACCATTCTGAATTTTGAAGGAAGTAAAAACGAGCTTGGCAGTAAATGTTTGAAACTAACAGCTAAGCTGAAATATTAACAACTCTTATAAGCATTCTTATAGTATGGGCAGTAAAGTTGTTCTGTGACTTTTGGATGGATATGTTCAAAGCAAAGTCAATGCAAAAATGAAATGACTTAAGAAAAGACAGAATACTCAGCTATTGGAAGATTAGCCTGGTTAGTTAGTCTTATAATAACAAATTTAGTTCTGCTGAAAATTTTCTATTTTCAAAGTCAAATTACAGAAATCCCCATGCCTAACATAATTCTATTCTTGACAGCACCAAATCCTGAACCTTCTTCCATATAAATAGCCAAAACCTGCCTTTGTTTTTCATTCAAGTAATGTGTTCCTTTGTGTCTTACTTTATTATTTGTGTGCATGTGTGTATGTATGTGTTTGTGTGTCTGTGTGTTTGAAGGAATTCTCACCTGTGCATGCGCCTGAGCAGGCTAGAAGTAGATTTCTATATGTCTCTCACACTTCATCTTTGTTTTTGGATACATGATCTCTCATTGAGTCCAAAGTTCTCTGACTAATCTTTCTTAGCTAGACAGCAAGCATGCAGTAACTACCTGCCTTTGTTTTTCAGCACTCATGGAAGATGTGTGTTGCTGTGCTTGCCTTTCATTTTTGAGCAGCAAACATCACTGAGGCAAATATCCAAACCCATAAACCTGATTTCATTCAAAACATTCTCCTTTTTCATAACTAAACTCAACAGCTCATCTGTTGAATCATCTCTTCCATAGATAGAGAAATCTAAATAAATTTAGTCAAAATATTTCACTATCCGAAGGACCTTGTCCTTATGGTGTTTCTCAACAATTATTATGACTCATTTCCCTTTAATGTTGTTCATCTTATGCTAGAATTATAGTTAAGTAAATGACAAATATCATTTTAAATACTATTACCTCATATAGAACATATATATTTAAAAGTTCCAACTATTGCAATGGCAATACTGGTCTTCTAAATGTACCAATTGGCTCTATTTCCTGTAACTTGAAGATTTGTGACCAAATAAGCAATATAATAGAATGGTCATTGATGTCCATTTGAAAGCTTTGAAATGGCACAAACTTGACTTCAGTTGTCCCCAGCTCATAGGACTTAACTGTCTAGTTTGTATTCAAATCAGCATAGGAATTGATTCTTTAGTTAATAATCAATCTAAGCACTTTCAGTAACCTACACAAAAACATTTATATGTAAATGCTGAAACTAGAAATAATATTCATATGGTCATATATGTGCTTGTGTTAGAATCTGCTAGTAAAACTAATCTAATACAATGCAAATTGCTTAGAAATTGCAATGGTTTAAAACACATATCTAGTAGTTTATCCTAATGCTCTATTCTGCTCAATGCGTTCTACTATCGTCTTTCTGATTGCCTTGATTTTTCTAGACATAAATGTCACAGGTGTGCTCCTTATTCAGGGCTTCCAGTTATTCGTTCCTCAGCATTGTATGTGGGGAAGTTCATCAAAACTGATTTTACCTCTGTCTTCATCTTCCCAGCATCTTGTAGGGCTTACTTTTCTGCCATAGTAATTGTCACTCATTGTTATGTTGTGTGCAGAGATTACTTACTTTGACTTCCTTTTTTACAGACATCTAGAAGAGTTTTTGTAAGATAAATGTTTTTATAGCGGTGATGATGTGAGGTGGTGGTAGTGATGAAAATTGGGGACAAGTAGTTTTGCTCTGGTTTTGTTCTTTTGATATCTCTTTGTATGTCCAGGACCCTACACCACACCTGCTATATAATAGTGATCAACACATCACTGACTTACTTATAAATAAAAGCAGAATGCAATGAGCCATGTTAGAACAGTGGTGGTCAAGGCTTAGGATTTTGGGGTTTAATGTTATTATTCCTCCCACACAATTCCTAGTCCAAGTTTTAATTCGAGTCCAAAAGAACAACCAAAAGAATTAGCTTTATTACATCGAAGAATCAAATCATGCAACTCAGAAGAATTAAAATATTAAATATGATGCTTTTTTAAATCTTCCTCATCACTTCATCCTTTGTATCTTGCCTTGTGTATTTCAATGCACTCAGCTTGATTTTAGTAAATATGCATCTCTATGACTTTTGTAAGTAAGAGATGATCAAGGTACCATTTGCTAGCAATTGACTTATCCTCTCTGAACTCCGTAGTTTCCTATGCAGTTGTACCTGGGGACACTGATTTCACATCAAGCTGTGTGAGATGATGTCCCTAAAGCTTCAACACTGCCCCTCATCCCCATGTGCATCACTCAGTTAGCATTGTGCCTGCAAATGTAAATGATAATTACAGTTGCAGTGGAGGTGCCCCTACATTCAAAGAGACTAAAATATATCAGGTAGAAGGTTAAAAACAAGGAAAGGAAGCTGCAAATGCCTAAGTTATTTTGATGTAACTGTACTGTTCTCTGCAACCCTCTCCTGCACATACGCACATCATGCTCCAGCTCCAACCTTAATTAAACTCCGAGATATCTTTTATCTTCCTTCACTGTTAGGACTCACACTCAGATAAGGCACTATTCCTTTTTAATGTAATTGAGACTAAAGATGGTAAATTTTGGGCATATTTGTTGTAACATCGTGTAATTTAAAAACTGACTTAAATAGAAATAAAGAAACACATTGTACATATAAAGGAGGGCTGTGTTTACTTACAGTGTATTTCTAGCACCTGCATGGCTACCTGAGGGGTGGCATTGAGGGACTCGTGGTCTACTCTGCAGATGACCGCCACTCCATCATCGCTACGGTCCACTCGGAAATCCAGCGTGCTGCTAACGGTGAAGGTCTTTCGGTTAGCATCCTCCTCTTTCAAGTACTTCACATCTGAAAACACAAGTTGTAGAAAAGTTGTGACATTTTCCACAACTGATCACACTTCACTCACAAGTAACTGAAAAATCACCTCCAACTGGGGTCAATTTTTTAAGAGCCAATTTGTGAATTTACTGGTAGAATTCTTAAGACCACAATAGGTAGGGATAACTTTAGAAGAATACTTTGTATGTTGTTCATGAAAATATTTTTATGGATACGTTCATAATTTGAGACATGGACAAATATTCATGATTTGAGACACTGACAACAAAAGTATTTTAGTTTGATAACAACGATAAAACTCCAAAAATTAATGATTAAGACAGGTAGAGAATTAAAAATGAAAGGGGAGTTGGTGTGCAGCATTTTATATCTGTTTTCAAACTTACCTAGGTTATAACCAGGTCCATGTTTTTCTGTTCTCAACCTGCAAAGCACCAATTTACAGAGGCACTCTCTCCTCCAGCTTATGTTTACGTTTCTCTAAAACATTCTGTTGGTTCTCTTAGCTGTAAACACACTTGTCAAGAGTATGTTCATTACTATCAGTTTATGACTTAGAGTGTGAAATGTGTGTTCACTCGAGTTATCACTCAAACAACACAAGGGAAAAATTTTCTGAATGCTAAAAAAAAAATATTTAACAGTGAAAAATAACCACCTTTAAACAGAAAAGAAAAATGTAAATGTTGAAAATATTCAACATATATTCAACTTTGAAATTTACATGGAGAAAATTTCTTCCCTTGGTTTAAGACCTAATTTCAACATAAATGAAGCTATTTCTCTCAAGATGTTCTGGCAGCAGGCCCATCAGTCAACAAGGGGAAGGAGGCAATCACTTTTTCTGTGCTACCAGGGCGTGTGAAACATCAGGAAGCACATACTAGAGATCATTCTGGGGGGCGGGGATACTTAAGGATTCAATGGCCAAGGTGAGAGAAGAGCTAGCCAAGCGGAAGAGAGAAAGAGGACAGAGTCAGGGCTGGTTTGTGTTCAGTTTAACTCCTCCCCTTGGTTAACCACCCTCATATCCATCTTGTTAGGAGTCCTAATTGTTCTTCTGCTATTGTTTACCTTTGGACCTTGCATATTGAACAAGCTTATAGCCTTCATAAAAGAGAGAAGAGGAGCAGTACAGCTGATAGTCCTGCACCAACAATATGTGACCCTGAGGACAGGACCTGAAAAATGATCGTTAGTTACCCAAGACCCCTGAGCACAGCTACAAGATTGAAGCTTGTACAAAAATAATGGGAGAATGAAGGACCCTAGGGTCTTTCACCAGCCTTATACCCACTCTCCTCATGTCAAGGCTAGGCCAAGTTCTATTCTCCACCCACAGGGACATTCTTAAATAAAAAATTCTCGGAACATACTGACTGATAGACACCTGTCCCTTTGGAAAGTTCCAGGTAGAGTTCAAATGCATGTTATGCTTGCTAGCCAATAGATTTAAAGGTCAATATGCTTAGTCAATAAGTTTGGACTATAACCTTGCTGATGAAACCTGTGCCTGTAAAAAGTATAAAAACAGCTTCTAATAGCCATTCGGGGTCTCCTTCTGATCACCCCCTTTGAGAGACTAATTGAAGGTGACTCAGATGTGCTGGAAAGTAAACCTCTTGCTTTTGGAAAAGAAAAAAACAGGATGTAAGTTCATTTTTGGTTTTTAACCTTAGTTTTATATTAAGTCTGGTATGTTGTAAAGTGGTCTCTTTGGAATTGATTTGTGTTGAAAGAAAGCTTATTGATATATTCACATAATCCATAATTTTTTAGGTTTGAAAAAGTTAGAATCATACAATAAGCTAAAGTTAATATGGCATTATAGCAAGATTTTTTTTGTGCAGCCAAAAGGATAACACATTCTGCGTTCTCTTTACAAATGTTTTCCTTTCTCTTTTTCAATTTGCTATTGGATATTTTATTTATTTGTTTGTTTATTTATTTATTTATTTATTTATTTTCAAATGTCATCCCCTTTCCTTTCTTTCAGCCATCCAGTAAACAATGATTTCGGGAATCCAGTTTGTTACTAAAGATGTGTAAGTTACAGTAACATAGAAAGTTGTTAAGAGAAACTTGTTGCTTCCTAGCCAAAAGAATGACATTTATGTCTGATGGGAAAATGTCATTGCCTTCTCCCTAAAGAGGTAATCCAATTGGGAGGGTCAGTCATCTGGCCAAGATCAAATCTCATCAAGGCAGGTTCATCTTAAACCATGATAAAGATACAAGTGAGAATAAAATTATTCTTTCTGAGAGTTTGTGCTCCCAAGCACCTTCCTTGAGATTTTCTGAGTTGTGTTGTGTTTGGCCACCATTCTGTGTCATTGTTCAGAATAGATTTTCTTCTCTTTCTCTTCAGCCTCTCTTTCTTTCTGTGTCTCTCTCTGTCTCTGTTTCTCTCTCTGTCTCTCTGTCTCTCTGTTTCTCTCTCTGTCTCTCTCTGTCTCTCTGTTTCTCTCTCTCTGTGTTTCTCTCTCTCTCTCTCTGTTTCTCTCTCTCTCTCTCTCTCTCTCTCTCTCTCTCTCTCTCTTTCTCTCTCTCTCTCAGATACTGGCTACTGGTACTTCAGTCTTTTACATTCTCTGGTGTTTCCCTCCCTACCATGACCCACCTCATGTCAGACTTTCAGGCCTCAGTAAATCAATTGGCATGGTTTTACATCTCTTAGCCTCCTACCTATGAGTCGATCATAAATATCATGTGAAATGCAAACTCTCTGGTCTTGTGGTCTGTGAATTTCATTCTTTTAGTTCATGAGACAAGAAGCTGAAATCCGATACTGTGTGGCAGTTTTGATAGCCTTCTAGTTTTGAGGATTTCTAGTTCCTGAAACAGACTCTGATGTTTCCAAATATTCTCAGGCAGTATCACCCATTACTTTATATTCAACAATTAAATTTTAAAAATATGTAAAATATTTTAGTCAAAAGCAACAGATTTCTCCACTTTTCAACTTTCTGAAAACATTTCACATGTAGAATAGTACCAGATTTGATGTGCTATATGCATTAAACTTTGAGCTTTCCTTATTTCTGGAGAAATGAAAATACATGTTAGTAAGTGATAGAGGTACACAATTGTTACATATTTTGTTTTGAAAGTTATAAGTGTTTATTTTGTGCTCAAATGAAAAAACTCAATATTTTTAACACACACACACACACACACACACACACCTCAAAGTCTTATGACTCCTAGACTAGTGTGGAGAATAAAAAACTAACAGTTTGAAGTGGTACAACATGGTCTTTTAATTATAAATTTTAGGATTCCGTGGCAAGTGAATTACTTTTCATAAATGAATCTTATGAATATCATTCTGCTTCTATTGAACCATTTAAAGCATTTTTGCATTTAAAGCTAATAAAATTTCAGTTAAAATATAAAAAAAAAAGTGAAATAAATGACCACCTCTCAGTCAAGTTTTATTAGGATAATACAGATGTATACAGATGTGTTTATGGCTATTTAGTGCCATTAAAAATTTATGAGGCACTTTTAGTTTTTATTATCTTAGGGATTTTTACATGAATGTCACCTACTTTCAGATTTTATTTGCTACTCTGTCAATCTATGTCCAATGGTTCCTGGTTCCTAGCTCTGAGAAGTAACAATGTAAGACCATTGCGACATTTTTGCGATCTTTATAATTATACTACACAACATTTGAAAATGTTTTTCTTCAGTGGCTCCTTCTTGTCTGTGCTGGGGCCCTGAGCAGTCCCAGGACACCAGCTCTGCACCCAATTCCAGAACCCCCAGAGGATGCTGGACTCCCAGGAGCTCTAATACACCCAGGATTGTAAGATGCTGAAGGAGTATGGTGGCTTCCAGAGCAATGGGTGAGACATACTGATGCCAGGACAAAGAATGATGTTGACCTGTGAGCTTACTGAGCACCCTGACAATGGTGACTCAGAAACTATATTTGACATATGTTCCTGACCCACCTTTGCTTACCAATATGCCAGATGGGACAAGCCTTGCCTTAATTTTTTAGACCTTGTGGAACAGAGAATCAAAAAGAGAAATTATAATGACTCTTGTGTTTTTCTCAAAGGTGACCAGTTATTTGGACTTAATCATAGACTGGCTTAGAAATCATTCCAATATTGGAAATAACAGTCTTCATTTGGAAGGCTGGTTCTGGACATTTTCAGAGACATATTTGGAAGTTAGCTACAGTTCTCTATGATATTATGCTAGCAAGAGATAAAGTTGGTACAGGATCTGGATTTCAAACAAGTGTTAGTACATGTGTTAAGGTTCTTTTAATTGTCAAGTTAAAATTACTATTGTTTCTTCTACAGTATTTAATGTAAGTTGCATTGATTGTACACTTTCTAATTGTGATAGTGTGTTCAAACACAGCATGTCTGTTATGTGACGGAGGTCTATCAACTAGCTTTTGTTTTATTGCCATGAATATCACAGAACCTTGGTATCCAGAAAAAATTTACAAGTACTGGAAGAAGTGAGTCAGTCGAAAAGCAGAAGCAAAAGGGTAGTGGGCTTGATTATTGCTGGTATAACAGCTTTAATTACATTAATTGCTAGCACTACTGCTTCTGCAATTGCTTTGACATGAGAAGTTAAGACAGCTAGTTTTGTTAACCATTTAACAAAAAAAGTTACTAATGTGTTGATATACAAGAGGATTTAGATAGGTACTTGGAACAACAGATTGATGCTTTTTATCCTATTCAAATTATTGGAAGGCAGTTCAGAGTTTAAGGGTAAGGATCCATCTCCAATGTCATGCCAAATACCGTTGGATTCCTGTTACTTCTAAAATTTACAGGGGCAGTCATTATAAGTAGGAAAAAGTTTAAATACACTTGAAGTGTATTTGGCATAATTCTAAAACCTCTCTGGATGTTTTAATTTTGCGTAATGAGATTATGAATTTAAAGAATGCTGCTCTGCTGAGCTTTCATGTTGCAGATACTGCTGATAAAATTACCCATGACCTGAGGTCAGCATTTCTATTTTGGTCAAGCTTCAAGAATGGCATATATAGTTTGATCATGCTAGCCCTTTTTGTCCTCAGAATTCTTTTAATCCTGCCCATCTTGTTAAAGTTTGTCTTTAATAACATCAATATGTTGACAGCCGAAGTACATGGCTTGAACCTAAAAATGGACTCCCAGACAGAGTTATTAAATTAACAGGCTAGCAAGCCAAGGATAGGTAAGATTCAGCACAGAGCTTTACCAACCTAAGACAGAAATGCATTGCCTTTGATAATGCTTATTCCACAACAGATAAGGAAGGCATTCTTGTCAGAATGACCTAAGATAGGCTCAGTCTTGTTTATGAAATAAAAAAGAGTCTCCCTCCCATGTGTAACCACCAAAGGTAGACACTGATGTGGTTGTCAGGAAGTGCATGCTAACAAGAGCCTGATATAGCTGTCTCTTTAGAGGTCTGCAAGAGTCTGACATATTGAGAGGCAGATGCTCACAGCTAACCATTGAACTGATCAAGGGGTTCCCAATGGAGGAGTTAGAGAGAAGACTGGAGGAGCTGAAAGGGTTTGTGGCCCCATGAGGAGAGCAACAATACCAACCAACCAGTGCTCCCAGAGTCTAAACCACCACCCTGGGAACACATAGGAAGGGACCCATGGCTCCAGCTGTATATGTAGGGGAGAATGGCCTTGTCAGGCATAGGTGGGAGAGAAGATCCTTGGTCCCATGAAGGCTGGACTCCAAGTATGGGGGAATTTGAGGGTGGGGAGATGGGAGTGGGGGGGTAGGTGGGGGCACATCCTCAGTGATGCAGGAGGAAGGGGGCTGGGATATGGGTTTCCTGGGTGGGGTGGGAGAAATGGGGTAAAGGGATAACATCTGAAATGTAAATAAAATATCCAATAAAAAACAAACAAAAACCAAAACAACAACAACAAAACCAAAAACAAACAAACAAAAAAGAAATTAAAAAAAGGAGAGAGGCAGAGAGCCTTCGGGGCTGCTTGGCAAGAATCTGACATGGGCCAAGGACAAGGAAGTGGGCTTCAGGCAGGAATCTGACATTAGACTAGAACAAAGAAGTAATTTAGTCAGGAATCTAAATCTTCAGCTAGAGCAAAGAATTTACAAGCAGGAATCTAGATCTTAGGCTAAAACAAAGAAGCAAGCTTCAGACATGAAAATGTCTGATCTAGGACAGAGAAGTATGTTCAGATATTTTGGTCATCCCATAAACCCTTAGAAACAGTGATCATGGGAGTGTTCATGTAATTTTGTTTATTGTCTTGCTTGTTCCTTGACTATTTGCATCTATTGTATTGCTAGTTCCTCAATCTAGAACCGACCTTAACACTTGTGGGTAATAAAAATTATATAAAGCAAAAAGGAGGAAGGGGGATGGGATAGGGGGTTTCTAGGGAGGGGAAATGGGAAAAGGGGTTGTCATTTGAAATGTAAATAAATTAAAAAATTTAAAAAAGAAAATGTTTTTCTAATCAATGTTTCTGTTTAATTAATTATTTTATCTGAACAACAGCTGCATTTTAAAAATTCACACATTTGCCTCTGGTTGATTTCTTTACAAAATATTATTAATGTAATACTAATTTGTAATAAGATTTGAAAGTAATTGCCCATAACAAAATTTTACTGAGAATTATTTAAGTAAAACAGACAGTATTATAATCCATAGATTTTAACAATTGTATATGTTGGTTTATAGGGTTAGTTCAGGTCACAATATGAACAGATCTAACCACTTAGATTAGCCAGACACATTGGATAATTACCTTCTCCAAACAAAGAGGATTTGAAAATGTAAAATGTATTTACAAAAATACATTTAAATAGACGTAAAATGTAAAATCTCTGTCTCTCTGGGGTATATTACACACATATGAATGTATTTGTGCACAAGCCCACTGAGCTCAGAATAGGACATTTGGTGGTTTTCTCTCCCACTTTGAACATTATAGTCTTAAATAGAATTTCTTATTCTTCTGAAAACTTGCTATTTAGACTATACTGCCTGGCCAGCAAGCTCTCATGATCCACTGGTCTCCACCTCTCCATACCTGAGTTACAGACTATATATAATGCCTGCTTTTCTTGTGGGTGCTGAGAAGTTGAATCCACTCCTAGTTCTTGTAGGTCATGAACCAATATCAACTGTGCCCTTTTTAATCCTTTGTATTATTATTTTTTCAAGTAAGCAATAATGTATAGAGTTTAAAAACCAATATAATTTCTTTCCACTGTGTAGAAAACTATTTATTCTACATGTAATTTTCTTTCATATTCTATCCTTAGAGTTTCTATTTCCTTGTTTTGAAAATTACCTTCCCATCCTGGTTTAAGGTTTTAAACATTACATTTTTAAGTGAGCCAAACGTCATAGAGGAAAATGTGGAGAATGAAGGTTCTCTGATGGTTCAGATACAATATTTTGAAGAGTAAGAAGTTAGTGGACACATTGACATCACATATTGTGAACATGCCCTTAGACTACTGACTGTGCAACAGTATTCTCTGTATATTCAGAAATCAAGGTTGTCTGACTAAGAATAAAGATCATACATAACCACAGAGGAGAGTTGCACAGAAAGTGTGAGGCCAAAATAAATACTTTTTATATGCTGAGTTTTACTATGTAGGAAACAAACCAAAGACTCACTTCGTTTTTTTTTCTTTTGAGTTTTTTTTTAATTTCTTTTTTTTTTTTTGAACATGAAATGCTTTTTTATAGCATGTTTTACAAGGGGAGGGGGTAAGAGGGTCCAGGTGGTGGAAAAGTACAAAATCTTCTTGGCCTGTGCCTTGAAACATGTCATGGTCTATATGGTACACTGCCTTGAATTATGATCTACCTGCAGTTCTTCAGAAGATATGGTACACTGCTTGAGTTATGGTCTCCCTGCTATTCTTAAGAAGACATGGTACTCTGCTTTGAGTCTATCTGCAGTTGCTAAGCAGGATCTTGCAGCTGCCAAGCTTCAGAGGACATTGTGCAGGTGGGGAAAGGTAGGGGGTAAGGGTAAGGGCGAGGGTCCTGGCTTCTGGCATCTCCCCCTTCTCTGTTTAGTTAGAGAAGGCTTCTTATGTTCAATCCCAACTATGTGAGTTTTGAATTTGGATGTCTAATTATGGGGGGTCTTAGACAAGTTCACAACCCCAAAACACTGATGTGAGACAAGTCACATCGATGGTCGAAGGCTTTAGGCTGTCGATGATGGGCAACGTCAAGGGACTCTGATGTGGGTGAAAGGAGTGTGAGAGCCCTGTCTTAGGCCATGTAGGCTGCACCCACTCCCAGCACCACGCACTCCTTTTCGGCTGCATTGGGTGGGCCCCTGGGAAGTGGACCTACAATAATCCCGTCATTGGGCTAACTCACAGCCATCCTAGTCTCTTGTAAATGTTCAATTTACCAACCATTTGTCAGTTTGGGGTGTAATATTGTCATAAAGGAAGGCTCCCCAATGTTAGCGGCCATATCAAGGGTGGCCTTGGTTTAGGAAAAAGCCAATTTTTGTTGTGGTGATCAAGAGGCCAAGCTCTCTAGCGAGAGAAATGAGGGCGAAGCCAGGCATACCAGGAACCCTTCTGGAGGGTGTGGAAGTCTAGGGGTCGTCCGTAGGGGGAGGCAGGGGAGCTGACAGCTGTGTCAGTCTCCTGCGGAGTCACTTCTGGATCCTCTGCAATTTTCAGCTGATGGTAATGAACTTCAACTGCCTTCTTGATGGCAGCATCAACCTGGTTCCTTGGACGACAATTTTTTCCCCGTAAAATAGCAATTCTCAAGAGATACCTCCATAGCCATCTTTCCTTGGATTAAAGTAGTTTGCTACCTGCCTCTCCATCTGCATTCTGATCATCAACTCTGGAGTTTCAGAAAGAAAATCTTCTTGAGGGAAGTTCCTAGGAAACTAGTCTTGTCTCAGCAGTGTTTCAAACACACCCTTTGCGGTTCTCTCTCAACTTTCTGATTCATTTGCTTTCCACATATTTTTTATGGTTTTGATGATATTCTGACAGATATAAAATAAGATACATTTTTACTTTTGTGAAGATATTTCATTTTCCTGAATTCTGACATAGACCTCCATTCCAGCAGCAACTTTGATAGGATAAGTCTCTTTTCATCTATTGCAAAGATAATAGG